GGAGGTAAATGCCGCGCCCGCGGCCAATAACTTCGCGCCCGCGGCGCGCCATCTCCAGAAACATGCGTTTGCTCAGGACCTCCCTGTCCGCGCCCGCGGGCTTGCATATCAGCGCGCCCTCTCGCTTTTGGCATCTCCATTTCCTTGGCAAGCTTCCTTAGCATCTCTACTCCATCTAGCAATCCATAATTCGCCCATGAGTGCTAGGAGCTATCAAAACACACAAATAAAAGGTAAAAAGCGGAAGAAAAGATAAAAGTGAAGGGAAAACACGAGAAGGAGCTAAAGTAACTAAAATAGAATAAAAGGCGCTAAGAAGAGGCATAAACAAGTTGCAAATCGAGGGAACTCCTAATGAAAGAGGGTGAAAAGGTGGCATAAATGCCACTCATCAAAATCCCCCACACTTGCCTTTTGCTTGTCCTCAAGCAAAATTAATAGAAAAAGGACAAGACAAACACAACATGGCAAGGCATAGAAAAGCAACATCAAATTTCAAGCTGAACAAATGCTTCATTCGGACTCAACCACGATGAACAAACGTCAAAGAATACTAGTCCTTCTCAATTACATGATGCATGCTCGCTTCAAGATGCTAATGGTTACAAGAGTCAAGCCTAAGCTAAGCATAGAGAACTAGTGAGTCATTCTCCGCCCTAGTCCCCTCTAAAACGGTCCGCGTTCTCCCCACTAGTTTCAAATCGTCCCCCTAGATGGCTCCTCATGATTCCACGAAGGAACCGAAAAAAGATTCATTTTGAGGAGGTAAAAGATCATCCCGACATCTCAACTAAGCATGCTCTCTCCATAGGGTTGAAAACCATCTCCCTCCACCGGTTATTGACCACGCACCCCTAAAGTCTAAGGGTCTTCACTGGGGTTGTAATGACTCGGCTCCAAGTAGAGGTAGGGAGAACATTTGAAATAGTGGTGGTAAGTCCTAAGTGAAGCAAGAGAGTGGCCAGTTCTCATGGACAAAACTCAAGAAACAACCACAACTCAAACGGTCAACCAACATTTCGATTTCATCGCATTACCAACCTTATTCAAGCATATACAAAATAAATAGTTTTCTCATTCCACAATTTTTTTTTTCAACCATTTTGCATCACTCTTCTCAAATTTTTCTTGCATGCCCATATTTAGGCTTACTTTTCAAGTCTTTGCTTCCAAACCAATTCCATAAATGATTCATGCTCATATTCATGACGCTCTTCACACTAGCCTCACAAGCCAAATGCTTCACTAACTAAAAGGGTTGGTAAACATAGGTCAATTAGGCTTGTAATGGGGGTTGAGACAAGAATGGGAAACATTAGGCTCAAATTGGTTGGCAAGAAGGTTGATGGAACGAGGAAAATCAAATTTGTAACTAAATAAAAGAAAATATAAACAAAAATGAGAAATAATGCCCTTTTCCTCCCCTAAGAGTCCTAGGGTCACGATCTCGGGAGCCAGTAATCAACACAAGGATTCAAACATGCATAGTCGAGGATCCTAAAATGCCGCTCAACAAATCGATGAGGACCCAAACATACCATCATCATGAAATCATCATCATCAAATCATTGTCATTGTATCATCATCATAGAAATGAACAACAAAAACACTAAACAACAGCAACAACGCTACCAACAACACCTACACCAAAAACCCCTAAATAGTCCCTTGAGTCCTAGGTGCCTTTCCCCCACACTTACCTAAAGCATTCCCTAACACTCTCTTTTGACTCAAACACCCCCCACACTATAGTAAAACATCATCCTCGATGCTTCACAAGTACATGGAATAAAGGGGGAGGGAGAACAAAGGGAGGGAACAAAAATACCAAGGGGGAAACTAGTTGCCACTAGGGCCGGAACCGCCTTCATCCGCACTCCAACTGTCGTAGGAGAAACCCGAGGGGGGCCATATGGGTCCCACCCTCCTGTGTAGCCGGGAGGCCACCCATAATGACCCTGGAAAAGGTCGAGTTGGGATGCGGATAACTGGTCAAAAGGCTCGGGTTGGATTAGAGGTGAGGGGTGAGAGGGATCAACATAGGGGTAGTTAGGGTCACCCCTATAATCACTCCCAGCCGATACCCGGTAGTCATATTGACCGGAATCATCAGGGAACTCACGCCTAGGCACATTGGGGTCCGAGGACCCCTGCCAATAGGGGTACGTAGGATGGTTATCGCCCCCCCAAGATGGAACGGGCCCTTCTTGGGCCGACACATAAGGGTAGTTAACCGGGGGAGTAACATCCCCTTTACGTACACTAGCATCATACAGGAGGTTAGTTTGGAAAGAAAGGTGTTGGTGGGAAGCAAACATACCTTGAATGCCAAGTTGCATGCCTTCCATTTGGGTTCTCATTGCCTCCATTTGTTGTTGGTAGTCGGGTTGATGTTGTTGTTATTGTTGCCTTCTTCCATGTTGTTGGGACTGTTGTTGTTGTTGATGTTGCTGACTTAGAGGGGTGGCCCTCATCACGCTCTCATCTTCCTCCTACTCAAAACCTCCACCGTACCCTTCACCCGTCTCCATCCTTGCAATGGGGAGGATACCCGAATCCTTCTTTACCCACCAAGGGTAATTTACCCCCTCCCTCGTGAAGGAAGTGAACTCCGGCTTGGGGAGGAAGCAATGGTGCTCATGAGAGACAAGCAAGCTTCAAGTCCTTCCTCGATCCTCAGTATCTGTGACGAATTTCATGGTCTTTAACTGATCGAGGTCGAGCCAAATATCGCTCCCATCACTCTTCCCCACAGGGGTGCAGGACTCCAATTTATCCATATGACCCAACTTCTCGGCTATCCGAGTGATCAACCCGCCAAAATGGATCTCCCCCTTCTTTGTACCCGAGAGGACACCTTCAATGCACTTAGTGAATAGAAACCTGAAGTTCATTTTATGCCCAATCTCCGGCTGCGTAGCAAGCCATAGAATTCGGATTTTTTCAGTTGTAATCTTCCCCAAGTCTTGCTTATTAAAGACCATGTACCCGAGAAGATGCAGAAGTCTGATAGCCAGGTGCATGATTTGGCTGGCCAAGGAATACTTGGAGTTGAAAGCGTCCATCCTCGAGATGACCTTCCACCAATGAAGGGGCTCATAGGCATGGAGTCCGTCATGTTCGGGGAAGAACATATCAGCATCCGGGTTTAGGTCCAGTAATTGGTTAAACTGGCGGAGGGTGAGGGTTTATTTTTTGTTAAAGAGTTGGAAGGAGATGGTGAGGTCCCTATCCCCTGCGGCATGACATTCTAATGAGGCAAGGAACTCAAGAGTGGGCTCCTTGAAAGTCCGATAGGCACTTGTTACAAACGAGCCTAACCGGAGATTGTTGAATAAGAACCAACAATTGTCGTCGATGCCGAGTTTTGTGGTGGTGGGTTGGTGGTAGTGCTTGGTTGGTATTCAGTTTTCTATTTTGAAGGTTGTCGTAGATGGGTCTGTGGCTTTTATTGTGGAATTTGAAGGGTGGTAAAGGTGGTGGAGCGGTTTGTTCATTTTGTTGGGGGTTTGAGGATGATGAACCTTAAGAGTCCTTCCCACTCTTTCTCTTCTTTGAGCCAAACACCATGATTACCCACACAAATTACAAGCACCAAGAAATGCTCCCAACAAATCACAACAATAAACACCCACAACAAACTTCCAAAACCAAACAATCACTACAAAGAACACTTCCAAGAGTCACCAAGAACAACCCACAACCAAGCAATATATACCAAGAGACAACTATCACAAACAACAACTCAAAAATCAATTATGATCAAGATAATAGATAAATACAGAATAGGAGTCCAAACATCAACAATTCCAACATGAAAAATCACAAACATGAAATTTTCTCAAACAACAATATACTTCAAATTCAAAGGAAATATAGAGTAAAGGAGAAATTTATACCAACAATGAGTTCAAACAAGTACTCTTACTAGCCTTTGAAGAAGCAATGAACTCCACCTCCAAGAACCCTTTAATAGTGGAAGCAAATCCCACACAAGAAAACGTACCAAGAATTTGGGGTTTTTAAGGTGGAAAATCAGATTTTTGTTGAGAAAAAGTGAAGAAAAAGGAGGGAATTTGTTGAAATTTGATGGAGTTTGATGATTTGGGGTGAGAAATTGAGGTAGAATGGGTTAGGGATTGGAATGGAGTGAGGAGTAGAGAGATAAAGAGGGGAAAAATTCAGTTTTGGGGTTGTAATTTGTTTCGGGCATATGGCTGAGAATTAGAGTAAAAATCGCAGACCTGCAGGGCCGCGCCCGCGGGATGGCCTGTACGCGCTCGCGAGGGTATGTGCCGCGCCCGCAGCCCTAGCATCTCAAGTTTCTGATGTTCTGAACTGCTATCTGCCGCGCCCGCGGGATTGAATTGCGCGCCCGCGGCAGTGACTGTCCGCGCCCGCAGAGGTATGGGCCGCGCCCGCGGGTTTCTTGTTCGCGCCCTCTCTCAGCCATCTCCCAGGCATCTCCACTTCCCTTGAAAAACTAAAGGGGTTTTGTCCGCACTCGCGAGCCTATGGGCCGCGCCCACGAGTTTCTTGTGTGCGCCCTCTCCAGGGTTTCTCCTAGGCATCTCCACTTTCATTTCTTCCTTTCTCCTTAACTTCTCCAAACCCACATTAGTAGAACAAATTCCCAAAGATCCAAGTACCTATTAGAAGAGAAAAACACATACAATAAGAAACTAAAGAAAAATTATCCAAAATTCATCAAACACAAGAAACACAAAACCAAGACAGTTAAGAACTCAGGTTGCCTCCCGAGAAGTGCTTCTTTATAAGGTCATTAGCTTGACCATAACACATCATCATCAAGTAAGTGGCTTAGGATCCGACGGATCGAGCCTCATGCACTCAATTATGCCAACTTGATCATTGCAATGGTGGAGCTTCAAACGGTGGTCGTTAATCATGAACTTGTTCCCCTCCGCCTCCAACTCAAAAGACCCGTAAGGAGTACTCCTTGAAATTGTGAAAGACCCCGACCACTTGGATTTTTGTTTTCAAGGAAACAATCGAAGCCTAGTGTTGAACAACAACACCTTGTCTCCAACCTTGAAGCTCTTGTTCCTTATATGTTGGTCGTGCCATCTCTTAGTCCTCTCCTTGTAGAGCCTCGAGTTCTCGTAAGCATCATACCGGAGCTCCTCAAATTCATTTAGCTTAAGCAATATTTTCTCACCCGCCAAGCACATGTCCATGTTAAGCTCTTTGATCGCCCACCAAGCCTTATATTCCAACTCAATCGGCAAATGACAAGCCTTCCCATAGACCAATCGGTAGGGGGTCGTGCCAATGGGGGTTTTGTATACTGTCCTTAGAGCCCAAAGCGTGTCATCGAGCTTGAGAGACCAATATTTTCCAGACTTGTTCACCATCCTCTCAAGAAGGTTTTTGATCTCTCTATTGGATACCTCTACTTGCCCTTGAGTTTGAGGGTGGTAAAGGAGACCAACCTTGTGATGAACCCCATATCTTTTGAGAAGAATCTCGAGTTTTTTCTTAGCAAAATGAGACCCACCATCGCTGATTAGAAATCTAGGAACCCTAAATCGCGGGAATATGATCTTCTTAAGAAGCTTGAGCACAACCTTGTTATCGTTGGTGGGGGAGGGTATAGCTTCAATCCACTTAGTCACATAGTCCACCGCCACCAAGATATAAAGATTTCCACAAGAAGAGACAAAAGGCCCCATGAAGTCGACCCCCCAAACGTCGAATGGCTCTACTTCCAAAATGTTTTGTTGGGGCATTTCATCCCTTTTGGTTATTCCCCCACTTCTTTGTCATTTGTCACACCGTGAAACGAACTTATGGGCATCCTTGTGCATTGTTGGACACCAAAGAAGAGATTGGGAGATCTTTGCCACGGTCTTTTCAACTCCTCCATGCCCTCCACATGGCAATGAGTGGCAGTGTTCAAGAACTCCTTCTATCTCATGATCCGGAACACATTTCCGAAAAAGTCCATCTCCACATTGCTTGAATAAATAAGGGTCATTCTAAAAATACCTCCTCACTTCCTTGAAAAACCTCTTCTTTTGTTGAGAGGAGAACTCCGAAGGAACAACTCCACAAGCTAGATAATTAGCTATGTCCGCGTACCAAGGGCTAGGTGTTGAAACCATGGCCATGAGGGTTTCAAATCCCACCTCCTCATTCATTGGGACATCTTCCTTATTCTCAAAAGGAAGCCTAGACAAATGATCCGCGACATAATTCTCCGCTCCCTTTTTATCCCTCATTTCCATGTCGAAATATTGGAGTGAAAGAACCCAACAGATAAGACGCGGTTTTGCTTCCTTTTTGGTCATAAGATAGCGGGCCGCTATGTGATCAGTGTATACAATCACCTTGGAGCATATGAGATAGGACCTAAATTTGTCCATGGCAAACATAACTGCAAGCATTTCCTTCTCCGTTGTTGTATAGTTCTTTTGAGCCTCATCAAGCGTTCTACTTTAATAGTAGATGACATGAGATCTTCCTTCCTTCTTTTGCCCAAGTACCGCACCTACTATAAAATCACTTGCATCGCACATTAGCTCAAAAGGCAAGCTCCAATCCGGAGCTTGCACAACAGGATAGGAGATGAGAGCTTCCTTGAGTTTTTGGAATGCCTCAAGGCAAGCCTCATCAAATTTGAACACAACATCCTTTTTGAGTAACTCGGTTAAGGGCTTGGCGATTGATGAAATTTTTTTGATAAACCTCCGGTAAAAATCGGCATGCCCTAAAAAGGCTCTCACTCCCGTAACGGAGGTAGGAGGGGGCAACTTAGCAATCACCGAAACCTTAGCCGAGTCAACTTTAATGCCCTTTTTTGATAATTTATGGCCTAGGACAATACCTTCTGTTTCGGGGTCTTCTGATGTCCTGCGGGAGAGTTACAATTCCGAGACTGGAACCGGACGCCTGTACCTGCAAAATAACGGAGACTCCTGAGAGCTCCGCCTCCAACGGTCAAGTTAGTACCTGATTAAGGAGTAATTAAAACGGAAATTAAAGTAATAAGGTCTCTCTAGGTGAGAGCGTTTAATGTTGGAAATCTGCTTTGTTAGCGAGATCAGCCGGTTATTAGTGTGTTCCGTAACGTTTCTGTTCTATCTCCCTTTACTTAATAAGGATTAATTAAGTATTTATAGTCTTGAGAAGCGTGCCACTCTCTAGGTTTAGGGTAAACCTAGGGCTGACCGGGCCTCTAAACAGGATTGGGCCTTGTTGGCCGGTTTTCCCATTTGGCATGGGTGGACACGTGGCGTGTCTCAATTGGTCCGTAGAGGACGTATCTGTGATTGACACGTGGCAGGCTCCTATTGGCCTACGTGAAGGACACGTGGCGGAACCTGGTTGGTCCACTTGTCAGACGGTGATTGGTGGATAAAAATCCACTAATCATTTGCCCCTCACAGGTGGCACGTGACTGGTCACGTGTCACCTGTGACAGGTGCCGCACGGTGACAGGCGACGGCCTGCTACAGGTGTCACCTTGCAAATGGCCGAGAGATTTTCCCGCCCAAATTTTGAATTTGGAAGCGACCCTTCGCCTTCTCACTTTGCCTATATAAGGAAGTGCTGACTTCGGTCATTTTCACATTTGAGAACTTTGCGAGAACATTCGGACCCCTGAACTTGCTCTGACATTTTGGACTTTTTCTGCCTACCGCCTGTTCTGACAAGCCGACTGCACAGGATTTTCAGAACTTCATCAACCGTCACTCGTTCAGGTAACTCAGTTCTCTTACTCTTAATTTTCTTTTTATTTTTTGAAATGGCACCACGGAAGCACACGACACGACCTAAGTTAGTGATCAGCCGGTCACCGGGGACGGCTGAATCTAGGACTAGGAGTGCCGCGCTGCCCTTTTCTGGACCCATCTTTGCCCTTTATACAAAGTCCGACTGTATCTGTGTCTATGCAGAACGTGATGGCCAGAACAAAAAAGACTGCTATGATCTCAAACTCGGACGGCTCCTCCCAAAGGGTGCTCATTAGTGAAACATCTGACCAGGCGCCAGATGTAGAAGTGAAACGAGGCGGCTGCCAAGCCGACAGTTCTGAGGGAGGGGTCAAGGTGGTCCCTTTCCATTTCGTCGTTGATATGTCTAATTTTCCTCCTGCTCCTTCTAAGGGAGAGGAGGCGGGCTCCTCTGGGAGAGGGGAGGAGTCGTCCTCTTCGGACTCGTCAGAGGACGAGTCCGAGTCCAGCTCTTCTGGCCATGCTTCTCCAGGCTCAGAAGAAAGAAACAGCCGCCTACAAGAGGCGAGGCTTTCTCATGCAGTTGAGAAGGGGGACAATTGGGCGGAGCCGTCCGCCTCTTACAGAGAGGAAAACACCCCCTACTACTGCACGGTACCCCGGGGCCGGATCGCAGCCATGCAAGACAAAGTGGAGAGCTTTATAGCTAACCATCGAATGGGCCCCGAATTTTTACTGTTCGTGCCGGATCCAGAAGACACTGTCGTCTGGCCGGCTGGTACCAGCTATGATGACGGCTGCTTTGGCTGCTATGTGGCGGCCATCAAAGCTGGACTGCGCTTCCCATTACATCCGGCTGTTCAGCGGATTTTAGATGGGTATGATTTGGGGTTATGGCAGTTAGCCCCCAACTCTTGGGTAAACGTACTCGGCTATGTGGCCGGGTGCGAAATGTACGGGGTGGAGCCAAGCTTTGAGGCTTTCGCCCACATGAACTATCTCAGCCGGACCCCTAAGTCGGGAGGTACCGGCTGGTATCAATTAACAAGCCATAGGGGCTACCTTATGACGAGAGGTAAGGCGAACAAATGGAAGTATTGGCGGAACACCTTCCTTATCATCGAGGGTTCAGACACGGAGCTGAACAAACGCTTTAACAAGTGGAATAGGGATCCGCCTCTTCTCGCAGGCGGCCGAAGCATGCTGCCTGTTCCCCCAAAGGCTAAAAAAGAGATCCTAGACAAAGGACTCTTCAAAGTAGAGACTAGGGTGAACTCTACTTCAGGGGTACGAGAGCAAGTACCCCTAAACTGCGTCCCGAGCTTCAAGTGGCTCTATGACGAGTACTTTTTGGCCGCCTGTGGCCTCAGCAGTCGGTGCTCTAGAGGTAGCCGGCCTGACAAATACTCTGTTTTTTCACGCCTTGTTTACTTGGGATTTTTACTAACTTTGCTGTTTATTTTTTGCAGCTGACGCCATGAGTAAAATAACAGCATCCAAGACTGCGGCGGCCATGTTGCGGGCCTCTCTCATGCAACAGTCTTGTACCGACTCCCCCAACAAGGGGGCACCCTTGGTAGGCTTCGAAACTCTTCCTCTTTTAGGAGTTGTCTTATGCATATACTAACTCTTTTTTTTTTTTTTTCAGTCGGGCACTCCAAGAGCTTCTTCCTCGCAACAGCCGGACCCCAAGGCCCGGAGGACGACTGTTGCAAGCTCTCTTGGGTCTTCCAAGAAAACAGTGGCGGCTGAGAAGCAGCCGGCCACTTCTTCTAAAACCCCGGCGGGGCCGCCTAGAAGTATGGACAATTACTTGTAAAAACTTTTACACTTGCTTCCTTCTTGACTAGGTCTAACTTGCTTTTTTACGCTTGATGCAGCCGGCCCTCAGGGGCTTGACTTGGTAGAGGTAGCCAAGTCCATGATCAAAGTAGTTCCTCCATCTGAAAGGGAGGCGGTCAGGGGTGTCGGCACCCTTGACCTTGATGGGATTGCAGGGGTCCTTGCTGAGGTATACTCTTTTGAGCATTTGAATTCCAGGACGCCTGTTATCTTTTTTGTTTGGAAACTGACGCCTGTTGTTTTTTTTTTTGTACTTAGGCCCTGCTCCGAGTTAACGGCCTTCGCAAGCCGCTTGATCGGAAGAACAAAGAGGTAAAGGCTGCAAAAGCTATGGACGCCTCTGACTGTGACAAGGCAATGTTTCAAATTGCCCAAAATGAAGTACTGACCATTGATATTCTTTATTATCAGGCGCAGGCTACCGCCGCTGTTCGGGCTCAGTTAGAGGCGGCCCAGAAGAAGAATGACGAGCTGGAGGCGACCATCACAAATCTTAAGGCCGAGCTGAAACCTCTTCGCCAAAAAATGTACTCTTACGAAGCCATGGAGAAATCCTTGGCCAGCGTAAAAGAACGCCTGGTGAGCCAAGAGAAGAGTCTTACCCAAGAGCTCTCGGAAAAGGCCGAGCAAGAGAAGAAAGAGCTCGTCCGGGAGATGATGGAAGACTCCACTCAAATCCAGCGCATGACCTGGGGCCGCCTGTTCCCCAATGCCGACTTTGCCTCTTGGGAAAGAACGTACCGCCAGTGTTCGGAAACATATAATCAAGAGATCCTGGCGGCTGCTGAAGTAGAGGCGTTGGGAGAAGCGTTGGAGGAGGAGGAGCCGGTTGTGGCGCTTGTGCCACTTGGGGGTAAGGCATCAAAAGAGGATGCAGCTGAAGTCGAGTCCAGCAAGAAGAGTGCTGACCAGGCGGCAGCTGCTAATACTGAACTGCCCCCTTCTTAAGCTTAATGTATTTTTTCCACGGCCTGCGTGCCGTTTGCTTTGTATTTACCCGGCCAGGGGGCCGGGGCTTTGAATATTTTGCCGGTCTTTAATGACCGGCTTATTTTTAATGAATTTTTGTTTTGCTTCAAATTTGTCCAAGTATTCCATATCTAATATCCAATTGTTTACTAGACCGACTGTTGTACATGGCCGAACGTTGCAGA